TTTCTTTGCGTAATATGACCTGTCAGAAGAAGTTCACTTATCAAGGGACCTGTATACGATTTAATCATATGAGAAATTAAAGACTTTCATCACCCTTACAACCAAACAATTTGGCAAATTCCCAGTCACAATTGTTCTATAATCGTCCAAAGACGTCAACCATCCGCACGCCGGACAACCTGCTGTCTGTGTATGACATCTAAATCACATCAACGCTGCAGACTCCTTAGTGGTGTAAATGACCAATACTCTTGTTATCCTCTTGCAGCCAAAGTCTCTGCAAAAAAATTTTGCATGCAAAGGATTATAGAGCTTGGTATCAATATTATGGAAGCAACAAACCGAGCTCAACATCACTCGGAGATTTTCAATTGATTGAATGACAGGTCAGATTTCAGAAGAAACACACAACCAGGATATTTTCTTATCGCATTCCAAGGCTGCCAAAAAATGATGAAATAAAACTGCATTTTATTTAATTTATCCATGTCAAATTGTATTTTCCATCAGATCTCTTTATCCATCCCTTATATTCTCGAAATCATAAAAAAGTTAATATCAACACTTCCAATTAACATTAACCGAACTGTTTAACATCTTACAGGACCCAACAGTACCACCATGAGCATATTTAAAGTCCTGTGACAATTTACCAGAATGTAAACTGGCACATTCACGTTCTCTGTTTGACCTAAAGAGTCCAAAACACAAATATATTCAATTTACCATCACAGAAACAAAGAAAACCTGCAAATATTTACATTTTAAAAGCTTATTTCTGAGATTAAGATTCAAATATTCTCTGATAAAAGCAGAATTCAAAGTCCAAAACCGAAATATATTCAATTTATTTTAAACAAAAAACCAAGAAAAGCAAAAAATCTTCACGTTAATGCTTGACACAGAGTTTGAGGACTTTCTTTGAGTTTATTGGCTGTATTTATTTATTTGTTTGTGTATTTATTTACAGTAAAAGAAAGTTGAGAAATCTCATAATTACAAGGAAAATTTGTTAAATTTCACTGAAGTTTTGAGTCAAAGTTTTTAAATAAACTAAATCAAGTTTTTCTGATCTTTTATTGAAATAATATGCTTTTTTCTTCAGAAAAACTTAAATCTTTGAGTTTTATAAACAGAAAATTCTGTATTTTACTTTATTAAAAAGAACCTGAGAAGAGAGAACCTGATTTTTCATTATTCAATGCTTACATTTTATATATTCAATTATGAAATACTTTAATACTTTTAATTATGAAAGACTTTCTGTGCTTTCATTTCTACATTTCAAACAGACTTTACATCATCGTTTGACTTCTCATTTTGTCTCTTTTATGAGGAATAAATCTGCCAGGAACCCAAAATACAAGAAAGATCCCACAGACGCTCATAAAAACTGTACAAATCTGTTGTGAACATTTGATTATACAGAGGAGAACACCGAGTTCAGGGGTCTGTATGTATTTATTTACAGTATGGACGGCTGTAGGGGAGGTACAGACACAGACACGCTGAGGTGTGTCTATTATCTGTTTTGGAAGGCAGGAAGGAGGGGAGGTGGAGCTGGAGGTGGGGGTCCTTCCCAGACTCACTGGAGCCTCGTTGTAATAGCCTCATTGAGACTGAATGAGACGTCTTAATTACTCCAGT